TATGCGTACTAGTACGTCAATAACCCTGGCGCGTAAGCCGTACTAGTACGTCGGAAACCCTGAAAGGGTTATATTTTTCAAAATATTCGGGGCACTGGAGGAGAGAACGTATATATACGTCTGGACCGTTTAGGGGTTAAATTCCAGAGCCGTGTTTTTGCTTTTCCATTACATGGCATGTACAGTTTTCAAATTCCATCAATCACTCCTTGTCCCAGTTATCCAAATTTGCAGGGGTTTGCAGTAATTTTTATTGCTTATACATAGATAGGATCTTTATCAGCTAACATGTTCACATAGCTTATTTATGGCAAATACTTTACGTAAATTAATGGTAGAAAGTATCAGCAAATACTGATCCTCACAGCACAATGCTAGAGAGATTGCCATGTACAAATCTTGTGGAAGACATGGACAGATCCAAAAGTTGTACAGGGTTAGTTGAACTGGGGAACATTGCAGATCATATTTCAGGATTCCTATTAGTTTTTTTTGCACTAAGTTTCTTCAACGTATAGAACTAGGAATTTATTGTGTATTTGATCATTTATTCTGAGGTAGATATTGTGAAATTTGTTTAAAGATAAATGTGTATTAGGTTTGAGCTTTTCATTATTATGAGTTTCCCATTTTGTGGGTATGGACTTGAGATACGGTATTTTCAACAAAAAATATTGGTTTGTAGTTCTGGGAACTTTTGGGAAGATGGTTAGGAATGAGTGTGTCAGTTCTACTGCTTTTTGGAAGAGAAGTTTATTGGAAATGCAAGAGATTTATAATCAGGAGTAACACGAGTACCTGTTTAGCAAAGTTTTACTTTTATGTTGGGTGTGACCAAGAGTCAAGTTTGATTTGAAATAAATTATAAACTGGGTATGCATTGTGGTACACAAGAGGCTTGATATTCCTATGGAGTTCGTTAACATCGGGTAAAATACAATCTGTGAAATTAAGTTTGATTTTTCCATTTTGGTTATTTGCTATAGTATTTAAATAGATACTGTAGAGGTGGTTTGAGGAAAAATCTAAAAAGTTTGGGTAACAGTTTGTAAAATAGTTATTTTTGGATCTTTGGTTTGCTTGTGAATGGCTTCAGAATCCTGAAAGTAATTTGCTTAATAACAGGATCTAAAGAAGCTGTTTGATGAGTGCTGTGGAGGGCTTCCCCCAGACCTAGTGTGCAACTATATGCAGCAGCTACTAAGAGGCATTGCTTTTTGCCACACTCGTCGCATACTTCACCGTGACCTGAAGCCACAGAATCTTCTCATAGATGCCAAAGGTGAAGGATTTTCTAAGCTGTCAGTATACAGTTTTAACACTGTAGTAAAATACTTATATTTCACAGGCTTGAAGAAAAGCTAGTAGGTGTAGACAGTTACTCAAGTTAAACTTGGTTATTGTAGTCACATTTGTGATGTTAAAAGCATTAAATACTTCACCTGCTTTGTATGTGGCATTTATTTTTTTTTAGACTAAAGAAATGTGTAGCAACATGTTACAAGACTTGAATGTTTAGATCACTGTATCTTAAATACAACGAATAACACTTGTATGTCTTTTGAAATACAGTACTGTAATTAAATTCTGTTAATTCATGTTTTCCTTTCATACTTGTATTAAACTAATAAAAGTTAAAATTCTAATAATTACCTATTTATAATTACTGATGTCCATGTACTCCTTGAAGCAGAGCCCTGACCAGAAGACTGCACATTGTTATATTATATGAATGGAGGCAAACTCTGCATTGTCATTGAATCCCAAAAATACTGTGATCCTTGGTAACTGAGGTATATGTGAATTGTTCTTTGATAATGAATGTGTACATTCCTACATTCCAGTCCCCATGGCACTTGTACTGACAGTATATCTAAATGTGCAGTTTTTTGAAGCCCATTGTGGCTGCAACCTCATGTTCCTTGCTTTGAATCCCAACATAAAACTCTGGCTAGTCTTGGTTGATGGACAGTGATTGTCCACACATCTCGTTTATATTTTATCCTAAGCTTGTACATGTGTAGCATGTACTAACATTTATATAATGCAACAGGAATGGTGTAGTTTGTAAAAGTTAAGCTTCTAAAAGGGGATGTTTATAGCTTGCTTGCTCCAAATGGCAAACAATCCATTTGCTTGCTAGTTTCAGCCTCACACATAGCCTATCTGTCCTACTGGGTGAGCCCCTGTAATATTGCTATATGTTAGCACTTCTGGTGTTAATTATTTACTGAAAAAAAATATTAAAAGCAAATAACATGCATCAAACTTTAGAAGAGTTTAACAGTATTTTTGCTTGCTTAACAGAGAATAGTTGTTGAGGACTGCTGTTTTAGTGCCTTATCAATCTTGTACTATTTGACTCCTGACTTGCTATCTCAGAAGTTTTGCTTTGCCATGCTGAGCCTGGTACTCTTTGGAACAGTTGTCTTGGCAAGTAATTTAAGTAAGGGCTTACTAGTGACAGTCTCTTGAGGGGCATTATGATACATATTTAATGAATACAACTTCCATGAAGGGGTGATGGTTCATGTAATTATAAAACTTAATATAATTGCATGTTTGAATAACCTATCTAGATTTGTTTATTTACTTCTAGGCATATAGCAATATTTATAGTGATAATGTCTGGTTCATTTCTTAAGAGTATTCTGTAAAGTAAAAGGACCCAAGTGCAACTAATGTGACATTTTATTGTGGCAATGTTTCGCTCTCCAGGAGCTTTGGAGAGCGAAACGTTGCCACAAGAAAATGTCACATTAGTTGCACTTGTGTCCTTTTACTTTACATATTGTCAGTAATTCTACCAACATATATTAATAGTATTCTAATACCAAGAACAGTGTTAATCTTTATCCTATCACTAATACTAAGGATACCCAGCTGCTCCATATTAAGAACCTTGGTAGTACAACAACCAAAAATAATTCTGAAGGCTTCATTTTCCATTAGCTCCAAAGGCCAGAGAATTTTCCTTACCTATGAGAAAAGGCTGAGTGGATTGGAGAAAAGTACATGACCTTGTGTTTGGTTTAAAAAATGAAGCCAATGATTCTTTTCAAATTACATGTTCTCTCTAGGCTAGTGTACTGCTTTACACTATGGCCCTTTTTAAGGCAGGTGAAATTGCAGATTCTGGAGAATATATAGAGAACTTTCACTGTATGTATAAGTACAATAAAGCACCTAAATTACTGGGAATGGTTGAAGTCCCTTGACCTGTACTCTTTGGAATACAGGTGAGAAAGATGCATGATAATATGCATGTGGAAAATCCTAAAGGGACTAGTCCCAAATCTGCATAGGAAATAGCTTCCTTTGAAGGCAAAAGACTCAGCAGGCAGTGCAACATCCCCCCAGTGAAAAGTAGGGGTGCCTTGAGTACATTAAGAGACAACACAATAAGTGTCAGGGGCCCAAGACTTTAACTGCCTCCTAGCATACAAAAGGGGGATTACCAATAGACCTCTGGCTATCTTCAAGAGGGAGCTGGACAGGCACCTAAAGTCAGTTCCCAACCAACCGGACGTGGTTCATACATTGGTTTGTGGCATGTGGCCAGCAGTAACAGCTTGGTTGATCAGGCCCTGATCCACTGCAAGGTCTGGTCATGGACCAGGCTGTGGGGGCATTGACCCCACTGGAACACCCTCTAGGTTGTATGGTGCTGTATGCTCTGAACAAGATTACACTAGAGAGACCAGATTGATAAACAATACACATCTTAGGTTGACTTGGAGATGTTTTCTAGGATGGTTTTATTGACTGCTTCTTGTAATCATTTGATAGAATGGAAAGTATACTTCTGAAATAAAGATGATTTTGGTTGGTTTCATGACCAGAAGTAGCTTGAAATTGGGTCCAAAGCAGCAGGAATATTTGATTTTTTATGATTTTTCCTGGGTTGGGTAAGCCCCTTCTACACCTTTAGGTCTTACTAGGTCTAACCTTTTTGATTATAGTAATACTAGGTCTAATTCAATTACATATTGGGTCTCTTGTTAACCATGACCAATTGTTCCAGATTATATTTTATTACCCAAGAAATAGGGTAATTTTTTTTTTAATTCAAAATGGAGGGCAAGTGTAATATAGGAGAAGCCTGGAAATATGATTAGTGAACATAGAAAATTCTGCTTTAGTGTCTGACGTATCGACTATTTATTTTAGATTTTTAGATTTTTTTTTTTTTTTTTTTTTTAATTTTGTGTAAAATTGCCAACTTAGCAAATTCTGTTGTTCTTGTGCTCGCTTGATAGAACGGAAGGCATACTAGCAAAATACCATATTTTCTGGCATGTAAGGCACATCTTTTTTCCCACAAAAAATCTTGGAAAATCACCCTGCACCATATATGCTCAAGGTCAGGGTCAAGGATAGGCTTTGGGTTATGCTTTAGTGTAAAATAAGAGGGTAATTAGCCCTTGAATATGATTACTGATTTACCGTTATGATACTTCTGTTGTGTGCCTTGTATGCCAGAAAATATGGTAGCTATTATTTGGTTGAATTGAGCAATGGAATTGGTTTAAAATGGGATGCAGGTTAATCTCATGTATAAGAAACCTCCCTACAAAGATAGGCTGAATGCATTGAATTTACAAGCCTAGGCAGTGCATAGAATTTGGATATGATTGAAGTATACAGGTAGAAAAACATAATTAAGAGAAGCAAAATGCTGAAAATATCTGAGCAAGGTAAGACCATAGTAATGGATTAAAGTTGGATAAATTTAGATTTAGAAAGGACATTGGAAGGTAATGGATGAGTGGAACAAACTACCAAGCAGTCATTGAAGCTACAGCTGGGTAGCTTTAAAGCTAGATTGGACAGGTACACGAGTAGAAGTGGTTAAGTGAGAGTAGGACCTGTAAGCTGGAGCATTAGATATACTGCAGTGCCCCTATAATCTTATGTTCCATAATAATATTCATAATAACAGGTGGTCAAAATGATATTTGCATCATTGTGAAGCATGTATTTCTTCCATAAATTTTCAGGATCAATCAAGTTAGCAGACTTTGGCTTGGCTAGAGCATTCTGTTTACCAGTCAGAGCCTATACACATGAAGTGGTAACATTGTGGTACAGAGCTCCAGAAATTCTTCTTGGGGCAAAAAACTATTGCACTGCTGTTGATATGTGGAGCCTTGGGGCCATTTTTGCTGAAATGGTGAGTGTTGGTTGGGTTTGGTTAAAGCACCTAAGGCAAAGAAGAGTGCCCTTAAATAACCCATAAACATTTCAGATTTAATCTTTCTTGTTCATACTAATAACCTTCAGGTTTGCTACCTTTTTGGCACAGCCTGCTCTCCAATCCTGTGCAAGTGCTACTTTGCTGAGTTTTTGTAAAATACTAAATAGCACACTAAATGCAGTATAATTGATAGTCTTTAGTGTAAATGGTATAAACTCTTAAGAATTCTACGTAGTATTCACCTGCATGTTACCTGGTAATGGACAGGGGAATCATTAACTCTTATCCCCAGGCCCACTTGTCTGGTTACTGTACTCTTTATTAATCAGCCACAAGATGGGGAAATTAGTCATGCTCCTATGACTTCAATAACCCCCAATATGGAGGAGAACTATAAAGGATGTTTCATTTCGTCATAAACCCATTGTCAAGTCATGATTTAAGTATCTGTATGTACACTAAGAGTTTACCAATTCCACTTTTAGGAATTAAATGTATATTTTCTTTTAGTTTTTTTTATTTGAGACAGTGTCCCAAGAAATGTGAAAGGGAAACAGAAATCTCAGTCTGCGTAAGTAAACACTGAAGCGCCTGTAACAGGGATGACTTACAGAGCTCGAATATCCTCCACAGAAACTCCATGTGACATTTGATGAGTTGGAATGAGGCACAACTCATCCTCACTAATCACTGCCACTGACACACTGGAACTTAATACTGGAAACAAAATTTCAAAAACACTGGCATACATAATACTCAGCCAAACTAAGTCCAACCTACCTCATAGCACAGGAATCACTTGACCTGATGATATCTCGAAAGACTTTGCTTGCATTTTCATCAGGTCGCTGTGTAACTCATGCCTCGCTTCCAGCCTATATATACACACACTTACTTTTGACCTTTGTATATTAGAAGTGATCAAGTCCCAGGACTGAAGTGTTTTCTAATACATGTAAGCATATCGTAGTGTTTGCTAACGTCTTTTATAACTACTACGTCAGTATTCATTATCAAGGTTTATATCAGTATACATTTACTCTGAAGGTTTCATTATTTTGACAGTACTGTCATTGTTTTTCAAGTCGTGTCCATAATTTATCCTCTGTAGATAGACCAAAATATATTTACTTTTTGAGTCTAGTCTTTTATCTGAAGTGCATATAAGTGTACATAAAAGAAGCGCTTGTTCAAGAAAATTAATAAATTTATATAACTATTTATATAAATTTTTATTTGTATAAATTTTTATATAAATTTATATAAAATAAATATTTTATATTTCTATAAATATTTTTATTTAATTTAGAAAAGGCATATGATAGTGGATAGGGGAGCAATGTGGCAGATGTTGCAAGTACGTATATGGAATAGGTAGTAAGTTACTAAATGCTGTAAAGAGTTTTTATGAGTATTGTGAGGCTCAGGTTAGGGTGTGTAGAAGAGAGGGAGATTATTTCCCAGTAAAAGAAGGTCTTAGGTGGATGTGTAGTGTTATTATGGTTGTTTAATACATTTATAGATAGAGTTGTAAAAGAAGTAAATGTTGGGGAGAGGGGTGGGATTAAATTATGGGGAATCGAATACAAAATGGGAGTTGACAGTTACTTTTTGCTGATGATACTGTGCTTATGGGAGATTCTAAAGAAAAGTTGCAAAGCTTAGTGAACGAGTTTGGGAGGGCGTGTAAGGGTAGAGNTTGAAAGTGAACATACATAAGAGTAAGGTGATGAGGGTATCAAATGATTTTGATAAAGAAAAATTGGATACCACACTGGAGAGAGTGAATATGGAAGAAGTGAATGTTTTCAGATATTTGGGAGTTTGTGTCAGTGGATGGGTTTATGAAGGATGAGGTTAACCGTAGAATTGATGAAGGATAAAAGGTGAGTGGTGCATTGAGGTATATGTGGAGACAAAAAATGTTATCTATGGAGGCAAAGAAGGGAATGTATGAAAGTATAGTGGTACCAACTCTCTTATATGGGTATGAAGCTTGGTTTGTAAATGCTGCAGCAAGGAGGCAGTGATGTCCTGTCTAAGGGCAATGTGTGGTGTAAATGTTATGCAGAAAATTCAGAGTGTGGAAATTAGGAGGTGTGTAGTAATAAAAGTATTAGTCAGTGAGCTGAAGAGGGGGGGGTTTTTT